CTCAGGAGGGGGAAGCAGTTCTTTGCCAACACTGTGTAGAGCTGCTGACCTCGACTGGGGATATTGTCGGGCGGTGGAAGGAATCGATATATTGTCACACCCCTACCCTCCCCGGTAAGGTCTACTCCAAGGTACTGGAGAGGAGGCTATGGCCGATGGTCGAATCTCGGATTAAGGAGGAGCAGTGTGGTTTTCGTCCCGGTCGTGGAACACTGGACCAGCTCTATACCCTCCATCGGATTCTCGAGGGTTCAAGGGAGTTCGCCCAACCTGTCCACATGTGCTTTGTGGATTTGGCGAAGGCGTTCTACCGTGTTCCCCGGGGTGTCCTTTGGGGGGGTTCTTCGGGAGTACGGGGTTCGGGGTCCTCTGCTGAGGGCCATCCGGTCCCTGTATGACCGGAGCCAGAGCTGTGTTCGCATTGCCGGCAGTAAGTCAGACCTGTTCGGGGTGCATGTTGGCCTCCGCAAGGGCTTCCCTTTGTCACCGGTTCTGTTCACTTTGTTTATGGACAGAATTTCTAGGCGCAGCCAGGGGTCGGAGGGGGTCCGGTTCGGGGACCACAGGATTTCATCTCTGCTGTTTGCGGACGATGTTCTGTTGGCTCCAACGAACCAGGACTTGCAACATACACTGGGGTGGTTTGCAGCCGAGTGTGAAGCGGGTGGGATGAGAATCAGCACCTCCAAATCTGAGGCCATGGTGCTCGACCGGAAAAAGGTGCCTTTAGCCCTGTACAGGTGGGTGGAGAGGTCCTTCCTCAAGTGGAGGAGTTCAAGTATCTCGGGGTCTTGTTCACGAGTGAGGGAAGAATGGAGCGTGAGATTGACAGGCGGATCGGTGCAGCGTGCACAGTGATGCGGTCGCTGTATCGGGCCGTTGTGGTAAAGAGGGAACTAAGCCGAAAGGCAAAGCTTTCGATTTCCTGGTCAATCTTCGTTCCCTCCCTCACCTATGGTCATGAGCTTTGGGTAATGACCGAAAGAACGAGATCGCTGATACAAGCGGTCGAAATGAGCTTCCTCCGCAGAGTGGCTGGGCGCTCCTTTAGAGATAAGGTGAGGAGCTCAGTCACACGGGAGGAGCTTGGAGTAGAGCCGCTGCTTCTCCACGTCGAGAGGAACCAGTTGAGGTGGCTCGGGCATCTGTTCCGGATGCCTCCTGGACGCCTCCCAGGGGAGGTGTTCTGGGCACGTCCCTCCGGGATGAGGCCCTGGGAAAGACCTAGGACACGCTGGAGGGACTATGTCTCTCAGCTGGCCTGGGAACGCCTTGGGGTCCCCCCAGACGAGCTGGAGGAAGGGTGTGTGAATAGGGAAGTCTGGGCGTCTCTGCTTAGACTGCTGCCCCGCGACCCGGCAACGGATAAAGTGGAAGAAAATGGATGGATGGATGGTTGGAGTTTCTACTCTGTGTAAAAAAATAAAAAATAATCCATACATCAAATGTAAACAAGATTCCGCATAGCTCATTCCGTCAAGGCATCACGTATGTTACAATGTATAAAACAGTTATCTTCTAGCAACTACTAATTGACAGAAGAGGTATTTGGATACATGAAAAACCTATATCTTCTGATTAAAATCTTAATTTTTTGCCTTCTGTCATCCTTTTGTACCCTTTAGTGTGAACAAGCCCATATAAAGCTGATTTATTACTGGGTAAGAAATAATATTTTTTTGAAAATAGTCCAGGGTTTTCCAGCTGAATTAGACTAATTTTGATGCTCTGAGTCCGAAAATGACCTTGGTTTTGGATTTTTTGCTACAGAAATACTTTTTTGGATTTTGCGTAAAAAGCAAACTTCTGCGGATCATCAGCTGAGAAACGCTTGAAGTTTTTTCAGTTTTCCTCAAGAAATAAAAGTCAACGTATCCAAAGTCATTCAGTTTTTATTTAACTCCATCAAATTTGATAAGCAGAATTCATAATAACGTAGACGTATGTAATCCGTAACACTATGGCTGTATCTCAAAAAGTTGACCTGATAGAGCAAAATGCATGTGATATTCGGACTCGCAACACCAAAATTAGTCTAAATCAGTTGAGAAACCCCTGACCATTTTTTGGCTGTCAACTTGTGTTATTATTATTTGAATTAGGAATTAGGTACAATGCACCCTCTGCCGCTGTCCTCACAGCTATGTGCTTTGAGCAGGGCCATGGCAAAGCGCTCTGCATCCATATAAAAATCATACCCCTTCTTTTGACCTTCAGCTGCATTAAAAATCTACTAATAGCGGCGAATACGATTGTAAAGTAATCCATTCTGGTTTGGCTCCAAATATCAAGAAATTGAAGCCGTAACAAGATTTCTGCTCCGTCCACACGGGTCAAAGCCGGGTATCTGCTAAACCGCAGATATTTTTCTTCGTTTGCACCTGACAACGCATCATAAACTAATATATAAAAAACCTCCGGTCAAATTTTTGAAAAAACTGTTTATATTTTATGTTGTTTATATTGTAGTGGGCAGACTTTGATGCTAACAGAGTTAAGCTAGCAACGCCATAGTACAAATTACATTTCGTACTAAGGTCTGGTGGTGCTCCATTGAACTCCTTTTGCAGGGTGAAACGATTGGATCTGAGTTTACCGTGACGTATGTAGTGCGCCCGAGTCTGTTGTTAGCATTTAGCATTTAACCTAGCCATCTCCTTTGCCGCTAACAGAGCCCGTGGGGAGTAACGCCACAATTCTTTCCAGCGATTAAATTTGCTAAACATTACCCTTGCTCCGGCTTCAATTTCTTGATAGAACCAGACCGAAGTACTTTCCTATCGCATTTTTCGCCATTACCAAACTACAACCTGCCTGTTCGACGCAAATTCTTGACATCACCCACAACTAACTCCAACACCTGCCTTCCGTGCTCTCTGAATGGTTGGTCGAAATTCAACCGATTGTAATTGCTAACATAGGGACTAGACCCAGATGTTGCATGCAGTGAAATTATGATAGAACGGAGTGTACGGATGGCTAAGGCCAGGCTATGAATCATGTGAACGTGAAAGATGTCTTGCCCTTACCCAGCAAATTGAGCCTTGGAACTGGTCCTCTCGTTGTCTGCTTTTATGGGTAGAGAAAGGTCCCTTATAGTAAAATCAATCTCAACCTGCACACCATAAGTGGCTTTTAATATTCAGAAATAACAGGTAATGGACCTCCAGGAATATGAATTGAATTTAGGAACTTGGAATTGAATAACTCAACAGTAGAACCAGAGAGGACCTTTTCCCTGGAGCAGTGCACTGGCATTTACTTCAGTGATCCAATTATCCCGGTGACTCAAAAAAAGGCAGTGTCTCTAGTGGCGTTTCCACCACACAATATATAAACATTAACCCAGATTTACTCTACGGGAGGGTCTTTATATGGACAGTAAATAATGTTTGGCCATTTGCTTTTGATTCATGACACCATTCAAGACAGTGAGATGGCAGCAGACATTGGGTACTTGGGGCCTGTGACTTCAAACTATTTGTGTCTTGGGTGCTCAATTTTTTTTTTATTAGGAGTGTTTAATGGATAGAAAAAGAAACAAAATTAATTATGTATACATTTATAATCATAATATGTAATATGTGTAATCATCCTAATGGGGACACTGGCTTGAAGACCTCTTTGATATCCTGTGTAGATAGCAAAAGTATTTCATATTGCTTATTTTTGTTTAATTTATAACCATTACCATGGCTCCTTTGTGCACTTCCGTTACAATACACACTGGTCTTAGTTTACAATTTCCTTTTCTGGATTTGTGACAAAATAATTGCTTCGATTATATAGGTTTCCTTCGGGTGCTCCGGTTTCCCTTACCACTAAAAACATGCACAATAGGTATGAATGTAATGAGTGAGTGAATGGTGTTGGTTGAGGGCTTTGATGCACCAGTCTCGCTTCCGTCATCACCGCGTGGAGAGAAGGAAAAATATCTGAACTCTGCACATCGTAAAGCGCTTTGGGTGACCTTAGTCCGTAAAAATGTGCGATATAAATTAAAGATTTTTAACAGCGGCAGCGAAAATAAAAACAAACTACAGTTTCTCATGGTTTCGTTTGGACGGACTGAGTCTAAATCTTTGTGTAGCGCCTGAAGCACACGTAGCTAGATAGCGTACCCGCTGCCATTCTTGTTAAATTTTGTTCTTAGTTACTGCGCATGTCCAAATTTATGTGGTTGGAAGTGGTGACGTCGTAGCAGGCAAAGAATTAATACCTTTTTCTTTACGCGGAGCCCCCCGCAGAGCATCCTTTCTGAGCTGTTCCACTCTTACGTTTTCATCCCCCTGAAGCACAGTCTCCATGTAAACGGGAGGCCAAACCGATAACCAACTCTAACGTACTGTCGCAGCGTCTCTGTCTAAACGGGGCCTGAGTCTGAGTGGACGTGTTCTCCTCATCTTATTGCTGATGCAGCAGCTTGTAGCTGTAGGTCCCTGAGGCTGGTCACGGCGGCAATCCTCAAACAATGTGGTGAACTCCGGTAGTAAGGCTGAAGGAGTCCTACTGAGGCATAATGGGGACTCCCGAGGCAGCAGTTCTGTACCGGTAGGCCAAGCGTGCTGCTGCCAGGGATATTGCTGAGGCGAAAACCTTTGGGTTGGGAGGAGTTCATTTGGGAGTAAAACAATCGATCAGCCTCAATGAGATTCTGGCAAACCGTCCGGCGCCTCGGTGGGGGGGAGTAGTCTTTTGAGAACGCTGTTTACAGACAGAGAGCTCCTTACCTCGACTGGGGATCCCCCCATCATGTCTGTACGCATTGCCGGCAGTAAGGTCTTGCATTTTGTACAATTTAAGCCCTGGGTGATGAGCTAAACACCTGTTTACACGATTGCCTGTGTAGACGATTGCCTCCGTACACTTTCTGGGAGCCTTCCCAGGAAGAGGTATGAAAGGGGATAGGGCTTTCAAATCTTTTGTACCCTATACATAAAAACGATGTTTTAAAACTTTTACATTTTATTTAAGGTTTTATTTTGTATTCATTTTTGCAGGAGGAGCCCAAAAAGGTGTGCTTTAACTACGACCTCTTCTTAAACCTGGAGGGGAACCCACCTGTGAACCACTTGCGCTGTGAGAAACTGACTTTCAACAACCCCACCAAAGAGTTCAGGAGAAAGCTGATCAAGGCCGGAGGGGTGAGTCTACACGCCCGCGACCAAGTGCAATTCACACTCAAGGCTCTTGGCAAGAAGAGATTGCACACAATTGTCTTTCGTCACTGTGTCTGCTTGGGGAGTTGTATGTATGTTAGACATACGCATAATGAAAACTTCCATTCACTCTCCTAGCTGCTAAATAAGACTCAGACACATTTGTACCATTTTTGACATTATGTCTTTAACATAGCCAGGTTGGTTCACACCAAGTATCAACTTTTTTGGTGGTGATTGTTGTTATTGTAGTAAAAAGTTATATTTATCATTAGTTCGGATATTGTTTGTCTGGAGATACAGTGCCTTGCGAAAGTATTCGGCCCCCTTGAATCTTTCAACATTTCGCCACATTTCAGTCTTCAAACATAAAGATATAAAATTTTAATTTTTTGTCATGAATCAACAACAAGTGGGACACAATCGTGAAGTGGACCGAAATTTATTTGATGATTCAAACTTTTTTAACAAATAAACTGAAAAGTGGGGCGTGCAATATTATTCGGCCCCTTTACTTTCAGTGCAGCAAACTCACTCCAGAAGTTCAGTGAGGATCTTTGAATGATCCAATGTTGTCCTAAATGACTGATGACAACAATCAGTTGTGCACTGCACAAATCTGGCCTTTATGGAAGAGTGGCCATTTCTCAAAGATATCCATAAAAAGTCTCGTTTAAAGTTTGCCACAAGCCACCTGGGAGACACACCAAACATGTGGAAGAAGTTGCTCTGGTCAGATGAAACCAAAATCAAACTTTTTGGCCACAATGCAAAACGATATGTTTGGCGTAAAAGCAACACAGCTCATCACCCTGAACACACCATCCCCACCTCAACTGTAGTTATCTGCAGTTCATCCAGAGTGATCATGGGCCTCTTGACTGCATCTCTGATCAGTCTTCTCCTTGTTTGAGATGAAAGTTTGGAGGGACGGCCGGGTCTTGGTAGATTTGCGGTGGTCTGATACTCCTTCCATTTCAATATAATTGCTTGCACAGTGCTCCTTGAGATGTTTAAAGCTTGGGAAATCTTTTTGTATCCAAATCCGGCTTTAAACTTCTCCACAACAGTATCTCGGACCTGCCTGGTGTGTTCCTTTGTCTTCATGGTTCTCTCTGCGCTTTAAACAGAACCCTGAGACTATCAAAGAGCAGGTGCATTTATACGGAGACTTGATTACACACAGGTGCATTCTATTTATCATCATCAGTCATTTAGGACAACATTGGATCATTCAAAGATCCTCACTGAACTTCTGGAGTGAGTTTGCTGCACTGAAAGTAAAGGGGCCGAATAATATTGCACGCCCCGCTTTTCAGTTTATTTGTTAAAAAAGTTTAAATTATCCAATAAATTTCATTCCACTTCACGATTGTGTCCCACTTGTTGTTGATTCATGACAAAAAATTAAAAATTAATATCTTTATGTTTGAAGACTGAAATGTGGTGAAATGTTGAAAGGTTCAAGGGGGCCGAATACTTTCGCAAGGCACTGTATTTCCTAACAAAAGGTCAGTTATGGCTGCAACCAAAACTTAATCATTGCAGACTAATGTTTCTTTTCAATTAAACTATTCCTACTTGTTGAAAATTAGTAATGTAACAGGGAATTTACACAGTAGGCGTAAACAGCGCGTACGCGTTTACCGCGCGCTCTCTGCGCGTAACATTTTTTGGAGTATCTACACAGGCCGTGCGCGCAGGTCCGCGTCTTCTGATGCTCTCCCTGTGTAGTCTATGGAGCAGTGTAGAGGACAGTACGAGCCAGATTACTGATGTAGAGCAACACAAATCACATGCATGTGTTTGTCCTCATGGTCTCCGTGCGCTGGTTTGGCCAGACGTGAGACTTTATGAAAGAAAAAAAACGATGTCCAGAATCCCTGTAAAACCTGCTGCTCCTCCTGCTGATGTTTAGACACAAGTGCTGTGTGTGTGCAGATGTGATCTAAAGCCAAGGACCGCTAGAAAAATCATGTTTTACATGAGATTTCAATGGGAGACGCGTTGGTGCGCGCACAAAATTAGAAATCCATCCTAAATTAGAGCGCAGCTTCGCGTCATATGTCCGTCATACGCGCGTATAACGCTAGAAGTGTAAATATCATCATAGGTTAACATGGAAAAAAGTTACGCGCGTCTGCTGCGCGTATAACGCGTACGTGCTGTAACGCGTGATGTGTAAATTAGCAGTAAGAATCATATGGCAACAAAAACATGTATTCAAGATTCAAGAATTTATTTGCCATTTTGCTGTAAAACCACTTTGGAAACACTTTGCAAGACCACGGTGTGCGGGCCTTTGTGTTTGACATGCCAGAGGATTTTTGGCTGTTAATTCTGCCCAGGTAAACTGCCAATGAAATAAGTGTGACTTTGACCACTTACTGATGGCCTCGGTTTTGTCAGTGTGTCTCAGGGCAGCTGTGGCCATAATAGGAGTCAACCACCACTGTGTATGGAGTGAATGGATGAAATGTGAAGTGTCTTAAAGAGTTATATAAAGCGATTTTGTATTATTGTTATTATTATAATTGTTTTAGTTGTACTAACTGATAGGACAACCAATACATATACATGTAATGTATGAGAAAGAAGAAATGTATGTTAACTCATTGAATGCCAGCCTATTTCAGAACAGGTACTCCCACAGTGCCAGCCATTTCTGATGATTTTTACTGATTTTTCAAGACCCACAGAATATTGTGTACTATGACTATCTGAAATCCGACACCAGATTCTAAAAGAATGGACTGTCTACTTTCCTCAACAAAAAGAATTTTGTTTATAGCTTTTTTCGTTCCCCTGTAATCCTCCGTCGAGTAGAGGGAAGTTTTACTGAAATCACCAGAAATCACCAGAAAGTTGAGAAAAAAGAGGCACAACATGTGCACCTAACTGTTTTCAAACCATTCAGAGAGAAATGCTGCCACCTGCTGGCTCGATAAAATATGGTCTCAAGTCATCCCCATACATATTAGATACAATAGATATCTGGGAACGTGAAAATAGCGAAAAAGGCATTTGACGTATTAATGCGTCAATGGCACACGACATTACTATTTGCTTTGATGTATTTGTGCGTGAATGGGATACAATGAGTTAATAGCAGAGGTGTGGACTCGAGTCATGTGACTTGGACTCGAGTCAGACTCGAGTCATGATTTTGATGACTTTAGACTCGACTTGACCAAATGTAAAAAGACTTGCAACTCGACTTGGACTTTAACATCAATGACTCTGACTTTCACTTGGACTTGCGCCAATTGACTTGTAAAGACTTGCGTAACCCGGGCCATTTTTACCTTTCTCCGCATCTCTCTTTCTATCTATGCCGTCTCTGAAGAAACAAAGCCTCGCGGTAGTTGTAGCGCTCGCGAGAGAGTTTGAACGTGAGTTCCCCGCAGTTCGCGCAGCAGCAACACTTCCCTAAACAAGCGGACTGCATTCACCGGTGGGTGTGTTGTCTAGGGGAGCTGGAAATGAGCGAGCTGCAGGTATTTATCGCGACCTAACGTCATATTTTGTTCTACAAACCGTAATTGATATGCTTTCACTACAGGCGCCTCATACAATTGAATCGACGCAGTTGTCACACTCTGTGCCGTGTTTTAAAGAGGAACTGGTGAGTCAAACTAGCGCTAGCCTGCGCTGCTCTGTTGGCTCTTTCTTATATTTTTCTGTGTGGGCGCCGAGGCCTATTATTATGAGTATGTTTTTGCTGTGCTCCTCCTGCTAAAGTTTGCATACATTAGATAGTTGTTTTGATTATGTGCACTAAGCTAGATTAATATTTGCACTATTGTTTATGGTGCATTGATATGAGAATCAGTGCTTTGACTGATTGAATTAATTTATATGAGACATTTTATTATGTAATGATATATTGGTAATTATGAGATATTGCTAATGCTGGTCCAGTTGATGGCGAGCTGCCCCAGGTCCAAAGCCTAGACCCCTCATACTACCCCTATTCTACAGTAGGACATTTGGAACAATAACCACTACGGACATTAAACTGATTATATAGATACAGGTCCTAGCCCAATACTCATATTCATATATGCTGCACTTGCTACTTCCCATTAAAAACCCCAAAGATAAAAAGTATGTTGACACGGACTGCTCTGATTTTATGTGTGGTCTGTGCATGTGTAACTGAGCCTGCATCTGGCACAACATCCAATTAGATCACGTAGATAGTTTTTTTGATTTATCAGCAGCCAACGACATGGAACAAACTGTTAGTCCATGGGTCAGAGACCAACGAGAATGCACCAGCAAAATGATTCCTAACATTATTTTGTTTGCCTACAAAAGTACGTGGAGACCAACAAGAAACAAATCGCGGTCAAAAAGACTCGAGAGGACTCGAAAGTCAAACCGTAGGACTTGGGACTGACTTGAGATTTGTTGGCCTTTGACTTGGACTCGACTCGGGACTTGCCTGTCTTGACTCGTGACTTGACTCGGGACTTGAGGGCAATGAATTGAGACTGACTTGTGACTTGCTAAACAATGACTTTGTCCCACCTCTGGTTAATAGTATCTAAATTAGGGATGTAAATCGGTGACCGTTTAACCGGTGGTTGACCGTCACAGCGTTAACCGGTCAAAGCTGTCGGTTAAAAAAGAGAAAAGGGGGAGAGGGGAGGTCTCTTCATAACGCTATTTTAAGCCCTATTTGCACGATGTGACGAGCGGGTCCCTATCTAGCTGTGTGCGCCAATGTAACAGTAAACTCTGGGCCGACTCTCACGCCGTACGCGCCACATATGCACGCACACATGTACACGCACACACACACACACACACACACATTTCCCCCCCCCTCCATTGACACGTAACATCCACACGCATCATCTCTCCCCTGTGTTACCGTCTGCTAGTTGCACACTGGTGCGGGTCAGAACTACATTGGAGCTTATATTTACACACACATACATACATGTATTGTACACACACACATACCGGTCTGTCGCGCACCTCTGTGTCACAGAGCCCAAAGCATTCTTGCAAATACACGGCTCCAGTCAAACCACATGGACCATGTTTGTGCTGCTGGTCCTTGGCATCAGCTCCACACTGATCACTTTTAAACTTTAGCGGAGACCTGCGAGACGCGGCTCGTCACTCGCTGCCCTGACCATGTGGACGAGCTGTCTTTTGCTTAAAAATGCTTTAAGCCGCAGCACAGAAGAATGGGAAGATTAAAACAGCAGTTCTCTGTGCGCAAAAGTGCCCAGCTGTTGCGGGTTTTGGTGCCGCTGTCTCAGCTCTGATCTAGTAGAACGCTCAGCTGCACTTATGAAAAGTACGCAGCTCGAAATGGCTGTTATTTCAAAGAACGTGGACTATTTTAAACTACGCGGTTAACCGGTTTCAACCGGTTAATGAGGCTCGGTGGTCGGTCATGAAAATTCATAGTTTTTTACATCCCTAATCTAAATAATGTTATTGCATTATCAGAGATCTGGGTCCTAACAGGCCAGTACTGTATTGACTTACCAATGATGTAATAACTTCAGCATGCTAGGTTAAAAATGTGCAGGATATAATTATTATAAATTGAGCCTGGCCATGAACCAACATTAAATTATTTTAATATAAACTAGGGCCGGGGACTTTTAACTCGTTGATTAAGATTAATTAATTACACAAAAAATAGCGTGTTAGAAAAATGGACGCATTTTCATCGTATTTGTTTTTGCCCCGCGGAACCTTTTTCACTAGATGAGTTTTAGGCCATGTCCACACGTAGCCGGGTATTTTTTAAACAGAATATTTCCCCCCCTCCGTTTATAAAATTATTTGCATCCACTCATAACTGGACATCTGCGTTTTCAATCACATTCATAACATTCCAAACATGTGCGTCCTGACGTCCTGTCCTGCGGTGGGGGGAAAAGTGGGCGGAGCTTTGATGGTAACACCAGTACTTCTGTAGCGGCACTTTTACAGTCATAGTAGAAATTCAGGGTGAAGACATATGTTTAAGATAAGATAGACTTTATTGATCTCACACAGGATAAATTTACATGTCACATCTGGCATGGATAGAATCACTCAAGATTGTGTAAAAGAAAGAAATGTGCAAACATTTAAATGCACATACAAGCACCGTGTCCCCCGTCCTCAGCCCTGGTTCAATCCTGGTTTAGATCCTGTTTTGGTTGTTGTCGAGCGCGAGTCCCCGTGATCACTGCTAACCGCTCACAGCAGTTAACAGTTTTTAAGGCATTAAGATCCATGGTTCTTCAGTGATCAGAGGTCACATGGTTTTTTTGTGACTTCACTTTGCCCAGAGTTTTATTATATATTGGTTTATGATGCGTTATCGTGGATGACAGGGGCAAATAAAGACAAATATCTGTGGTTTAGCAGATATCCGGCTACGTGTGGACGGGGCCTCAGACGGATCGATTGTACTGGAGCACCAACTAACGTGCATGAATTCGGTTCAGACAACACAAACCACAGGGGCACAGTGAACATGAACAAAGAAGCGGATGTGACCGAGTTGGTTGGCCCCGTGGATGGGAATAAAATTACTTCTCACTGTTCTCATTATTATATTACGTATCTAATTAATTAGAGTCCCAGCCCTAATATAAACTTTTTGCTTTGTCCAGTCCCTTTTCCCGCGGCATAGTGGCTGAGTGGATAGCACTCTCACTTCTCAGCAAGAAGGTCCTTGGTTCAAATCCCGAACGGAAGAGGGCCTTTCTGAGTGTAGTTAACATGTTCTCCCTGTGCCTGCATAGGTGTCCTCCGGGTGCTACCACTAAAAAACACGTACAATAGGTATGAATGTAATGAGTGATTGAATGGATGGTGTTGGTTGGGGGCTTTTATGCGCCAGTGTGTTTGGTGTCTCGCTTCTTTCGCTCTGTGTGAATTGAAAAATATATCAGATGTCTGAACATCGTAAAGCGCTTTGGGTGACCTTGGTCTGTGAAATGTGCTATATAAATAAACATGACATACTTGCTTACTTTTCAAAATCAAGGGACATCTAGACCATGTAAAAAATTGTGATAAATCACTCATTAAAGTGATGTCTGGCGTGCCTTGGCTTTTGCTCGCAGGTGCTGGTGGTTCCAGAGGGGGCAGAAGCAGTGTCCAGGCCCAGTCCAGACTACCCCATGTTGCCCACCATCCCCCTGTCGGCCTTCTCAGACCCAAAGAAGACCAAGACCTCGCACACGTCCAAGGTGAGCCTCCGCTTACAACATGCAACACTATTTGAAATGAAAGGTGCAAAGCATCTCGGCTCAGGCGTTGTTGTTCTTATTACTAATGAAGCTAAGCTCGCATCTCCACAAACTTAACTAATATTAACTTGTTTAGTTTCATTGGCTCAATGTGTTTCCCGGCTTTTCATAGGTTCAGAGCGTTAGTCTATGGTTTTGACGCGCCTCCCTGATTTGACAGCTTTCAGTGGATAGCATGCCATAGACTATAGTTGTTCAAAAGTTTAAAAAATCACCAAAAGCGATTTGTAAGCAGGCAGGCGCGAGGGGGGCTATGTGTGTTTGGAGCAAACTTTACAGAGCTGTTAAAACAACTATAGCGGTGTCCAAATCAGAGTGAGTTAGGGACAAGGAAAGAGACGGGAATGAGCGCCGTGTACCTAGAGATGGACAGTTGCATCTTTTGTGTGTGTGGAGGAGGAGGAGGAGCAACAAGACAGATTTGTGAGGGGAGACCACACAAGGAATACAGGTTTTAAGTATTAAATTAACAAAAAATGACATGAACGTGTATCAGTGGTGTGTGCAGTGTTGTCTGTATTTGAGGTGAATGAGCATCTGGATTAATCAACAAAGGTAAAAGTGAAGCAGCCGGTGGTTTATGAAGCAGCTCCTAGCTGTGATCCATTAGACACACCTTCTCATTCATAGTTTTTTATTTAAATTTTCATGATTATGAAATAGTAAGATTCACACTGAAGGCCTCAAAACTATGAATTAACTCATGTGGATTGTGTATGTAAAAAAAACAAAAACAAAGTATGAAACAACTGAATATCTATTTTAGGTTCTTCAAAGTAGCCACCTTTAGCTCTGATTACTGCTTCACACACTCTTGGCATTCTCTTGATGAGCTTCAAGAGGTAGTGACCTTGAAAGGGTCTTCCAACAGTCTTGAAGGAGTTCCCAGAGATGCTTAGCACTTGTTGGCCCTTTCGCCTTCACTCTGTGGTCCAGCTCACCCCAAAACCTTCTCGTTTGGGTTCAGGTCCGGTGACTGTGGACGCCAGGTCATCTGGCCAAGCACCCCACCACTATCATTATTGGTCAAATAGCCCTTACACAGGCTGGGTGTGAATCTACAGTCAATAGTCATGAAAAGAAAGGAAACTCGATGAATGAGAAAGTGTGTTCAAACTTTTGGTCTGTACTGCATATATATGTGTATATATATATATATATATATATATAATATATATATATTAGTGTATGAGGGCTGTCACACCATTAAAAAAATGTATCGAGTTAATTACAGCTTTAAAATGATTTCATCGTAGGTAATCGCAGTTCAAACTATCGGCAAAAATATGGAAAGATAAATTACGTATTTATGTATTTGTTGTATTTGTGAATCATAACGACAATAAATCCACATAAAATGGCATTAACATTCTGTCTTTCTGTGGTAGACAGTATTTTTTTCCTCTAAAAAACAATATTGAAAGCCCCAGGCCCGGACGGCATCCCTCCTCGTGTCCTGAAACTGAGCTCCGAGCAACTTGCCCCTGTGCCAAGACATTTTTAACCTGTCGCTAAGGAACTGTACTGTGCCGAGCTGCTTTAAAGAGTCGACCATCATTCCAGTTCCTTAGGGCTGAAACAACTAATCGATTAATCGACGACTAATCGATTATTGAAATAGTTGACAACTATTTTAGTAATCGATTAATCGTTTTCTGGTTCACACGGACTCAAACAGAGCAAAAATGACATGAAAATGTAGTATTTTTGATTAAAACCGACTTTGTTTTTATAATTTAATGAATATCTGTCTGTCTCTCATCCAATCAGATAGCAGAATTAGCACAAAGAGCCTGTTACAAACATTTACTTTAAGTTTACGCCATCAATACGTCCTCGAGTGTTGCCACTTTAGCTTTTTGTGATGAAAAAATAATTTTTTTCTACACAATTCACAGCCAAGTGATTACTCGATTAATCGTAAAAATAATCGATAGATTAATCGATTACAAAATAATCGTTAGTTGCAGCTCTACAGTTCCTAAGAAAACCTCTGTGACATGCCTTAATGACTATCGTCCTGTGGCCCTCACGTCTGTTCTTATGAAAACTTTTGAGCGGCTTGTGCTGGACTTCATTAAGAGCCAGATCCCTGTGAGTGTTGACCCGCTCCAGTTTGCTACAGACAGAACAGTCTGGAGGATGCCATCTCCTTTGCTCTGAACTCTGTCCACAGTCACCTGGACACTAGTAATTCTGTCGCGAGAATGCTTTTCATTGATTATAGCTCTGCTTTTAACTGGAAACTGATTGAACAGCTCATGTCTCTCGGTTTAAGTGTTGCCATGTGTAAATGGATTTTTAGCTTTTTAACTGACAGTGTGAAATTTCACTGACTGAGTGAAAATCAATGACTGTTTTTCTGATGTTGTTTCTGTGAGCACTGGATCTCCTCAGGGATGTATTTTGAGTCCTTTACTTTTTACATTGTACACTCATGATTGCGTGTCTTCCTCTGATTCGAACCTGATCATTAAATATGCTGATGACACCACCATCATCGGTCTCATCAGTAACAATGATAAATCCTCTTATAGAGCAGAGATACAAAATGTGGTTCAGTGGAGTAAAGCTAACAAACTACAGCTGAGCGCATCCAAAACATGTGAACTGGTCTACGACTTCAGTCGTAACAGTTCTCACACCCCTGTTGCTATCGACAACTCCCAGGTGCAGATCGTAGAGGAGTGCACTTTTCTCGGTTTAACTCTGTCTAACGACCTGAAATGGGTCCAAAACACTGACCGGGTCGTTAAGAAACCTCGTCAGCGTCTCTACTTCCTGCGAAAACTTAGAGAATTTACCACTAACTCTAAGATTCTGCTTAACTTTTATCGCTGCACCATTGAGAGTTTACTTGTTGGTTCTGTGTCTGTGTTGTTTGGTAACATCACAGATAAAGAAAAGAGATCTTTAAACAAGGTGCTCCGCTCTGCAAAGAGGACTTGAGGACTTGAGGAGGCTGTGAGCTTCCTGTTCTGGAAGTTCTATATAAACCCAGACTTTTAAACAAAGCTCTTAGGATTGTCAATGACTCTTCTGGCCACCCTGGGAAAGCCATGTTCCAGCTTCTTCCCTCTGGTAGATATCGTTCTGTGAGATGCAGGACATCTCGTTATGCGAACAGCTTTTTTCCACAAGCTGTTATCTGTTTGAACTGAGCACTTTAATGATTTGCACTTGTTTTGAAACTGTTTTTAGCCGACCGATTTCACAGTGACATTTGTTTGCTGTTTTATTTGTTTTATTTCTGTCTTTTAATGTTGTTTTATGTCTGTATTTGTCTGTGCACACTGGTGAATTTTTGCTGATGTATTCCAATGTGGTTCTATTTCATCCTTCCTGACCGCCAGAGGCGGTGCTTAAGCACTGGATGATCATCCTCGCGCATGCACAGATCGAGAGTCAAATAACAACAAAGTCACCCGTGACCTCCGGTAGCTCACGCGAGAGTCTATAAAGCCACGTGACCCCGGAAGCACAGTCCCTTTTCACTTTCTCGCATGCAGGTTGTATGAGTCTGGCTGAAGCTAACTGATAGCTCTTTGTGCCTGTTGGTCGCGCCGCTTGCTGCCTGTAGCCCCGTGACTGCTCGTCGGTCGGTGCTGCGAGTTTCTCGCCCTCCGTGGGCTGCGCAAGCCGCGCTGCTTGCCTCTGGTGAGTGTTTGTTTTGCTTATTCGCCGTGACTTGTGCTCGGTAATTTTTCGTTACTTCTTATAATTGGGGGGTTACTAGTGGCGTTTCTGCTCGACCCGACCCTGTTATCTGGCTGTTTACCTGCGCGTATTCAGCGTGTGTTAGGTGGGTTACCGGTGGCGTTCTGCTCGACCTGACCCTGTGTCTTGTTAATTACCTTGTTAATTATTTGTTCATTTCTGTCGGTCACTGGTGGCGTGTCTGCTCGACCTGACCCTGTTGTATTGGCTGTTGCCTGCGCGTGTTTTCGCGTTATTTTCTTGTGCCGAAAAAGACCGGCGACTGGCGACCGGTCTTGGACCTGAGGCGTCTGAATGTTTTCTTGAAGGTCCTCCCTTTCAAGATGTTGCGTGTCCGGCAGGTCCTCCAGGCGGTGTCCCCTGGGGACTGGTTCACGTCAATAGACCTGAAGGACGCCTACTTTCACGTCCCGATTGCTCCTCAGCATTGCCGGTTCCTTCGTTTTGCCTTTCAGGGGAGGCACTTCCAGTTCAGGGTGCTTCCCTTCGGCCTCTCGCTCTCTCCTCGGGTCTTTACGAGATGCGTGGCGGCGGCTCTTTCCCCGTTGCAGGCCAGGGGGTTGAGGATCCTGCCCTATCTGGACGATTGGCTGATCTGTGCCCCCACTCGCGAGCAGTCTCTGCGGGATACGCAGGCTGTGATAGAGCACGTGACCAGGTTGGGTCTGCGAGTGAACCTGGCAAAGAGCAATGTGGTGCCGTCTCAGCAGGCTTTGTTCCTGGGCATGGCTCTGGATTCCCTGTCTATGTCCGCCCGCCCCTCGCCTCGACGTGTCGGGGACATTCGGGCGTTGCTCCCGGGCTTCCGCCGAGGACGGTCGCTCCCTTACCTGGCGTTCCTCAGGCTCCTGGGCATGCTGATTGCAGCCTCGTCTGTGGTCCCCCTGGGTCTTTAGTCTTTGCGCCTGCTGCAGATGTGGCTCAATGGCCTGGGGCTGGACCCGGCCAATCCTGTTCACAGACGTCGGCGGTTGCTGGTGTCTCCTCGGTGTATGGAGTCACTGTCCCGGTGGCGCGACGAGGCTTTTGTGCTGACGGGCGTCGCGCTGGGTCCCCTGCCGTCCCGCCGGGAGGTGGTGCATACGGACGCGTCCCTGACAGGGTGGGGCGCAACGTGGCAGGGGCGTGCGGTTCAGGGCGTCTGGCCGGTGCGGCAGAGGGGGCTCCATATCAACGTCCTGGAGCTCCTGGCCGTTCAGCTTGCGCTGCGCCATTTCCTGCCGGTCCTGCGGGGGCGGCATGTGTTGGTGCGGTCGGACAACACCAGTGTGGTCTATTACATCAACCACCAGGGGGGAACTCGGTCGGAGTGCTTGCTGGCAGTGGCGCGAGGGCTGTTGACTTGGGCCTATCCCCGTCTTGCGGGTTTGACCGCGATGCACATCCCGGGGACTCTGAATGTGTCGGCGGATTTCCTGTCGCGCCACGTTTCGCTGCCGGGCGAGTGGCGGCTACACCCGGATGTAGTGATCTCCATTCGGGGGTTGTTCGGCCGGGCGAGGGTGGATCTCTTTGCCTCTCAGGGAACGACCTATTGCCCGCTGTGGTTCTCCCTGTTGGAGTCCACCGGTCCCCTGGGTCAGGACGCGCTGGCTCACGACTGGCCCAGGGTTCTGCTGTACGCGTTCCCGCCGTTCCCTCTGATCCATCAGACGCTGCTCCGGGTCCTTCAAGAGGGCCACAGGATGATACTGGTGGCCCCGTATTGGCCGGGGAGGACATGGTTTCCCTTGCTGCTCAGGCTCTGCTGCGGCTTGGCGAGGCCCCTTCCCTCCAGGCGGGATCTCCTGTCTCAACTGGGGGGCCGGCTTCTCCATCCGGACCCCGGCCGCCTGCGGCTTTGGGTGTGGCACCTCCGGGGACCGGTTTAGCTTTTACAGCCTATACTGGGGAGATTGGACGCACCATGTGCAATGCCCGGGCTCTGTCCACACGCCGGCTGTATTCCTGTAAGTGGAACGTGTTCGACGGGTGGTGTCGTGGCAGAGGACTCGACCCGCGTCTCTGCTCGGTGACGTCAATACTGACCTTCCTTCAAGAACTGCTCAGTAAAGGCCGTTCTCCATCCACCCTGAAGGTATACGTTGCTGCGATTTTGTGTGGGCACGCTGGGTTTGGTGGGACTAGTGTCGGTCGTGTTACTGACGTTTCACTGTTTTTGAAAGGTGCCCGCCGGTTGCACCCGCCCTGTCGTCCTGTGGTGCCGGCTTGGGACCTCTCGGTTGTCCTTGATGCCCTGCGTTCCCCGCCATTTGAACCGCTGGGGGAGATTGCCCTCAAGTGGCTGTCTATGAAGACAGCGTTTCTCCTGGCTATGGCCTCCGGACGGCGGGTGAGTGAACTCCATGCTCTGTCGGTGACCGGGGCCTGTTGTCGTTGGCATCCTGACGGCTCGGGTGTGTCTCTGTGGCCGGATGTGTCCTTTGTCCCGAAGGTGTCTTCTGGTCGTTATGACGGGCCCCTTCAATTGGCCCGTTTTGGTTCTGGTGAGCCCCCTGACCCTCTGTGCCCTGTTCGTGCACTGGAGGTGTACATTCGCTCCACGGCCTCGATAAGGCGTTCAGGCGCCCTGTTTGTCTGCTGCGCCGGCCCTCGCGTTGGTCGGGCTCTGTCCAAGCAGCGTCTCTCCCACTGGGTCGTGGGGGTTGTGACAGAGGCCTATGCCTTGCGGGGGCTGCCGTTACCGCCTCGGGTGAGGTGCCATTCTACGAGGGGCATGTCAACTTCGTGGGCTGCTGTGAGTGGTGTGTCGTTGGACGTCATCTGTGCGGCGGCGTCATGGTCGTCCCCAAGCACCTTCGCCAGGTTTTATCGGGTTAATGTAGCCGCCCCGCACCCCCTGCAGGGGGTTTTGCGGCACCGCTCATCTGTTTCACAGTAAGGTGAGGTTCTGGTTGGTTTCCTCGTGACCTTGCTGATATTCGTCATCCAGTGCTTAAGCACCGCCTCTGGCGGTCAGGAAGGATGAAATAGAACGAGAGTTACGACTGTAACTACGGTTCTATGAATCCTGGATGACCGCCAGAGCGCCCGGTCCCTCGGAATCCTTGTGCAAGAAAGGTTCTAGGGACTGTGCTTCCGGGGTCACGTGGCTTTATAGACTCTCGCGTGAGCTACCGGAGGTCACGGGTGACTTTGTTGTTATTTGACTCTCGATCTGTGCATGCGCGAGGATGATCATCCAGTGCTTAAGCACCGCCTCTGGCGGTCATCCAGGATTCATAGAACCGTAGTTACAGTCGTAACTCTCGTTTTGTTACTTCAAATGGCAAATAAACTGAACTGAACTGAAAAGAGGGCCTCTTGTTCAGTGACAGAAAACAGTCTACAGTCCATTGAAACCCACAGGCCACGCCTCTTCTAGCGTCTGCAGCAGTAAATAAGACCAGCATGGCAGCAGAAAGTGGCTGGAACTGCATACACAGCAAAACAGCCCAAAAGACGCAACAGTGAGGAAGAGAAGAGGGAACTAAAGCAAAAAAATGATCAAAGAAGAAATCCAGCCCGGGTGAACAAAGGTAGTTTAGTATCCTCGCTGGAGAGACCTGCGGGTGCGGAACCACCTCGAACTAAATTTGGACACCAAATTGGCCGTAATCTTCCAGTTATTGTACTGTCTTTGTTAGCAGTGCGTTGCTTTTGCACCATTTCATCAGTGATAGCTGTACAGCTTAAAATAAGTTGTGCTAATGCTAACTAATGCCTAGCAGATCGCCTTCGTGGGAGGAGAGCATAGGGAAGAGTAGGAGGGTTTGTCAAAATGAGAAACCTGTGAGCGACACTTATTATGGGATGCATGGGCACATGCCTGAAATGCATTGAATCGTTTCATTAATCACGTTAAATTAATTAACATGCGTTAATGCGATCATTTTGACTGCCCTAATATGTATACATATGTGAATTTAATTCCTGGTTCAATAGAGGGTTTTTAATCCACCTTAAAGAAGCTATACCCGATTTTTTTTCTAAGTAGTTCATAAAAATGCTTTTTACTACATACAAGTTGTATCATAATACATCATTTAATTTAAAACTTGAGGTCATTGATTTGACTGTGTATGAAATTCAGGCCGTGAAAAGTGCTGAGTAGAGTCTGAGCGGGCCGTTTGTTCTCCTCCGCTCACAGAACGAGCAGTGAACAGCCTGCGTCCTCTAGTCTCTACAGCGCTTCTTAACACCAGGGCTTCGACTTCAAAATTCAAATATAATTCTAAAATCAAAAATATGTACATATTTGAAAAAATATTAGACAGCCCTTATAATTCGAAATGTATTTAATGACTGCAAATAAAATAGTTGGCTCCCAAAGGTTTCACCGGGACGTGCTAGGCAGGTAACAGCTAAGCTAGCTAGCTGTTTCATGGTAACTTCCGGGTTTTTCGCAATCGCTTTTTGTCACATTAAAAAAGTGTTTTTGTCATGAAAACGTTAACAGCTAATTCTGAAATCGTCCGTGTATGTGTGTTAAGGATGTATATGTATACTGTATTGTCCGATTAACGTTTAATGGTGTTGATTGATTGATATGTATTTGTTTATTGAACGTGGCTAGCTCCGCTAGCTCCGCTAGCTTCTCTACACAGACAAGTGTGCAGAAAACTACACAGTGTAGTGACAGGCGCTGATAGCTTGTTGTACTTGCAGAGTAACGGCAGTATTTTACATTCGGGTTTGAGAGTTCTGTTATCAAGAAAAAATGATCGGAAGAATTGGATTCAAGTCAATGGAGTGCTGCTGCTGTGAGGAGCTGTATAATAAATTATAATTAAATATTAGAATATATATATATATATATATATATATATATATATATATATATATATTCTAATGTTTAAATTAATAAATTCGGACACAAAAATAGCGGTATTCTTTTACTTATACATTAGCAGTTAGCAGTGCGTTGTTTTAGTACCATTTCATCAGGGATTGTTGCACAGTTTATAAGAAGTTGTGCTAATGCTAATGTATCAAATCGCAAATAAAACTAGATGGCTCCGTGGGATGAGAGCGTAGGGGAAATGAGAAGCCATTGAGCGAGTTGGGGGGCGGTGCTAAACATTCAAACATTGCAGGGTATACGGGTATAGCGCCTTTTTAATGGGAGTTTTTCCTCAATAAAAAACTTTTTTTTCATATTGTAGTTTTTATTTATTTTTATTGAGAGTATATTGTACTTTGGACTTCTTCAAGGGGATTTATTTACTCCACTACGCCATCATGTGGATACAAAAATGTATAACAAGCGTATATGAGCGCTTCAAATAAATATTAGTGATGGGCATATGCAGCCTTGTAACACACAGAGGCTTACTTGTCAGACAAATGTGTCAAAGCCTCTGAGATAGCTCAGACCGGCTTGCAACCCGATTTAATCATTGCAGATCCTGAATAGCAGTCATTCATTGTGGTTTCAAATTCATACTTCTCACATACATGACAAGAGAACCATCCTACTCCAGCAGAACATGGATATGTTGCAGTTGTTAATCTCTTTTTAAGGAATCATTGAATATGGATTTTACATCTAAAAACAATATACAGAGCTTTATACATAGATAACAGCTACATAACTAGTATTACAGCACTAACGCGCTGCTTATTTACTGAATCAAACCCACCTGCTATGCCTTTTTTTATTTTTTATTGTCCGTTTGCCAGTTCAAACTTAAATAATCTGTTTTAGGCCACAAATCCATAACAACCTCTAATCTTTGTTTTCTTTTTACACTAGGAGCCCAGCAAAGAAGGAACTGGAAGCAGCAAAGGGCCTAAACCACACAAAGTGACAAAGGACCATCGTGAGAGGCCGCGAAAGGACTCTGAGAGCAAGGCCTCATCCAAGGCAGACGGTGAACGTGACTGTGGCAGCAGCAAGAGCAACAGAGACCCCTCCTCCAAGAAACCTTTGGATATTAAAGCCAAGGACGAAGTCAAGGTCCTGCCCAAAGCTGCCTTCAAGGAGCCAAAACTCACACTGAAGGAGTCTAAGATGGAAGGCATGTCTCCCAAGGGTGGGGGTCCGGGCGCGGGTGGAGGTGGGGGTGGGGGAGGAGGCAGCGGAGAGGCAAAAGCTCCAGGGAAAAGACCCTCCACTGTGGACTCTCCTAAGCCCAGCAACAAGAAGCAAAAGAAAGGTAGCTCAGAAGGGCCCAAGGCTGGTGCAGGGGCCGGCTTCACGGGCTCCTCGCCAAGGGTATCATCCTCATCCTCAGCCACAGTACAGTCGTACGAGAAGAAGGCCTCCAAAGAAAAAGTGCGCTGGGCCAAGGGCAAAAACGACGCACTGGAAATCAAAGAGGCCAAGAAACCGCAGGAGTCCGACGAGTCCAACTCGGAAGATGAGGCATCGTCCAAGTCTGAGGTTTGGTTTTCCTATACATCATTTAATGTTGTATAGTGTTTTTTTTAACTGTGAAAATGTTTTCAAAGCTTTAGAAAAAACCGAATAACTCGTCAACCCTTTAAAAACCCATATGTGATGCAATCTGGGAAAACCCATCACATGGTGAAATTTGACCAACTTAAGATTCTGATACCATCTTAAAGCTGCTTTCAATTTCAATCTGTAACAAAAGTTATTATCTGAAGTCAGCTTATTAACATGGTTTTATGAAACGGAATTCTGTGAAAATCAGGTTTAAAGATAGACATTCTAAATAGAATCACCACAATCACATTTAACATATTAAATTTGAGTTACTCTGGCACACACTTATTTTAGTCACTGTATATGTTGTAAAAGATAAGAAAATGTTACTTTGGCACCAAGCAAACACACAACACTCATTAAAGCTGCACTAACTGACTTTGGGATTTTGAAGCCGTGGACTCGCTGGCCTCTCTCTTTCTGCTCCCCTCCCCGCACCCACGAAGCTATCGCCCCCCACACACACTCACTGTTGGGACGGAGCTAGTGTCTCCCAATATGGATAATACATGGATATGGATTTGCACGTGGATGGCGTGACCATAGAACGATAGAACCGGGAAGCGCGGAGGAACGGGACTTTCTTTTGGATGGATGTTTTGCTGTGTAAGCAGTAACCGGTGACGAAGACACACGAAGCTTCAGGTTAGCTCCTCGGCTTGTTGTGCTAACTCAGCTGTCTATGCTAACGGACCTGTAGATTTCTCACAAAAGTGGGGGCCAGTGGTCCGTTGTGATTGGTCACAATCTGCGACCCGAAACACATTCTCTTCCTTGTTTCATCAAAACTCGATCTAAAATATAATGTCACGCCAGCACAAATCTGCGCTAATTATTCTTCAAAAGGACGTATATCCCAATGCACTACATGGACATGGATAGCATTTTCGTAATGAATACGAAAATAAAGTCAGTTAGTGCAGCTTTAAATAGATGAAAATCCAGAATGTATTTATTTATTCAACTTTCATACATTATATATGTATTAAACAATGCCAGTATCAGTCTATCATTATGCAGTATATTGTCAAATCACGCAGTATAAATATCCACTCTCAGCCCAAAAAGTCAAAAGGGGAAAATTAGGTACCAGAGCTTTAATTTTTGGTTGCGCATAGTGTGTCAATGGTTCTGTCTGGACATCTATGGTTCTGTCTGGACGTCTATGGTTCTGTCTGGACGTCTATGGTTCTGTCCGCGCGTCTATGGTCCGCGCGTCTGTGGTTCAACTTCTGTCCGCACGTCTATGGTTCAACTTCGCTTGATATGGTTTGCACTCGAAGCCACGTTATGGCTGTGCTTTCACTGAGCGGTTGCCAAAGCTGCTGTCACAAAGCGGCCGCAGCTGCTCCCGGGGTCAGAGCGGAGGATGTAACATTAACGTTAGGTTTATCAAAGCATATCACAATTTTTAATGTATAAAACTAGTGAATTTTGCCTAGATATTTTCAGAAATTAAAGACAATATGTTATATGATAATTATTTAATGAAAACACAATTTTGCCAAATAAATGACAATCTACCAATTTTTACTGTTTACTCGAAACGTGCCAGCGCGACATCCAACGGGTTTTCCCAGATCGCATCACATATGTTGCGATTGTGAAAAACTGTACCTGGATCGAACCACCGTTTATGCTGCATGTAACCACTTAAACTGAATATTATTGAGAAAGCCAAAAAATGATGCCACATAATGATAATTGATGTTTTAGTTGTACATACAAAAGTATAAACAAGTATAGATAAGGTTACCTTTGCTTATGTCTTTTTGTGAGTTGTTTTGTTGGTGGTTTGAAGCACTGCTGTAGCCCTCATGCCCCCTCTGTCTCTGTCCACAGCAGTCCGCCCAGTCCAGCGCCTCCAACTCCAGCTCCAGCTCCGACTCCAGTTCAGACTCAGACTTTGAGCCCGGCCAGAAACCAGGACAAGGTACAGTCCCAGTCAGTTTAACTGACACAACACCACTCACACTGGGCTATTACAAAATAAGACCAAATATCTAGTGCCTGTATTTCTAACCAAGGATGTTGTTTTTATTAGGAATTCCCTTGCTTGCTCTCAAAATTGTTTTGTTATCTATAGTATTCATATGAATACCCATTTTTTACCTCTGTCACATCTTTAGATCAAAACACCCTCACTTATCCAATCAGCTCTCAACCCAAAGAGTCCAAGAGTGACTCCCAGAGCTCTCTCTTACAAGTATACATAATTATAGTTATTAGGTTGTTCATAAGTACGCCTAATGTGTACTATTTTTTTAAATTCATTTCAACTTGAAAGCACCAAAGGGACAAACATGGGCCCTACTAATGAAATAGATTGTTATCTGGAGGATTTTGGTATTGAGAATTGCACAGATCGGGAGCCAAAAAATGTAATCCGGACATAGGAAGTGCTTAAAGGAAATGCTACAGTGCTTAAACTTGTGATGTTCTTATTATGACCACTAAAATGTTTAATCTAGCCTTTAACCTGAGCCTTCTACCCCCAGGCCCCTTACGGTCCATGGTGGAGGAGATCCAATCGGAAGAGTCGGACGATGACGACAGCAGCTCCGAAGAGGGAACCCCGGTCAAAACCAACCCTGGAAACTCCCGGTGAGTGGCACTGACCAACATACCATCTTGTTTTCTACACCAACACGCAGGTTGCATCCAAGAATCACTTTTCATTTTATAAAGCATGACAATTTACACCAGCAGTGAAAACATGCGTAGAACAAGCGTAATAAGTTATGTTGTACTGTAAGCTATAATTTTTTATTTTTATTTTTTTTTTTTTAACAGGCCTGTGACTGTAGGAAAATACAGGATAAGGTGTAGAATGAGCACATATTGTGATGTTACTTACACATTTACTTGCATTACAATTACGCTTAAATTATGGTATGCACATTGCTTGGTGTAAATTTGGGGTGGGTTGAATTGTTGCATCTCTTGGTGTATTTTGACGTTGGATCCTGTCCCCACAGCCTGAGCCTGGACAGCGAGAGCGACAGCAGCGATGGCTCTCACCGGCCCAGCAGAGAGCCTGCCCCTCCACCCCCCAAGCATAATAGCAACAACAATAAAGTGAGTGACTGCTGCAGCCTCCACTCCCTACAGGAGCATGCACTGACCTTTGTCAAACACACTCTGAATTCTCTCAATATTCACAATTGGTATTGTTGTTATGCTGAGCAATTGGTCTCTTTCTATGTAGTTGAGTTAAATTAGATTTCCTCAGGGAAAACAGATGTACAAAAATTATAATATTGTGGAAATATATTAATAATTATGTATTTTTTTTACTTGGATTTAATTCCACGTTTCATACCTCTGTAACAGAGCTCTGTGACTGTTTTTGTTTCATGTGAATAGATCCAGTCATTAGAGAGGACTACCAGCAAACCACCATTTTTGACAGTACATTCAAAGTCTGACGTGTGAGCCAATCGCAGCCCTCAATATTTGATTTGGTTTTTCTACATTGACGACTGTAGCATATTTTTTATTTTATTTTTTCACAAAATTCAGCTTATAATGCAAATACCACTAGTGAGAAAGTAAAAATGTGTCATTCATATAACTTCAGGGCTGTCAAATGTGATTCAGTATTGACCTGATCTCAGACTTAATGTTTTTGCTCAGAACAGCCTGAATACAGTCAATCCGTGTTATCAGCCCATGAAAAAGTCACCTGAACTCAAGCGGGTCTCTTATTAAAAGTTTGCTGTAGGTTCTCTCTTGGCATTCAGGCTTGCATTTTCCTGTATTGCTTGTGACCCGTGCTGTGTACAGGTGTCGGGCAGAAAGAGCCCTGACTCCACTTTCCGCTCGGAGAAGGTGCTGAAGAAGGGATACGACAAGGTAGGAAGGGTAAATCAAACTTTTTTTTATTCACACCTCTCACACTACATTATTACAATAAGACAAGGTAACATTTCGCATTGTTGTTTACACACTTGCTTCAAACCGGTCTGACCACTGTAAGGCACCTTTGTAAGCCGGGAGCTAGAGATCTGTGACGCTTTCATAGGTGGCTTGTCACGTTGGAACAGTAATTGTAATAAAAATATAATATATCTCATACATGTCTATAAGCACACTTGGTTTACTTTGATCCAGTTTACTTTGATCCAGTTTACATCCATTTAGGCAAGGGACGTGGTTTTTCATTAGCGCTTTGTAAATATACTCTGCATGGATGAATTCTGTTTTACTCCCTCATAGTAAACGCAGTCAGACACCATGCTACAGTAACCTTACACTGACATCTCTGCAGCACGAGGACACAGGCACCTTGTTGCGTTGTGTTGGTGCGTACACATTATGTGAATGGAGGGAAAACGGAAGGAGCAGCTCTCATGTTTTCTGTTTATCCCAAGTCCATGTCTGCTCCTGTAATAACATGTGTATCTGTGTTGTAGGCGTATACCGAGGAGTTGGTGGACCTACACCGCAGACTCATGGCTTTAAGAGAACGCAATGTGCTTCAGCAGGTCAGAGAGGTTTTCTACTGCATGCCGCACATCGCTTCAGAGTATTAACATGATTTATGCAAATGTAGTATCTTTCCGTTGCTTTGACTTGATAAAGGAATTCTTTCAGAGCCCGTTTGTTCGGGCAAAAAAAGTAAATCCTGTGGACTTTTATGTGTTTCTCCAAAATCTGCTTAACTGGAATACAAAATTATGCACCTGAAATGCATACAAGCTACAATGCATACATTCCTTCAAAAGGTATGCAGCTGAGATGCAGAAATTGTCTGTTCTGCGGTATACACCAGGAACAAACCAGGTCTCTGAATTGTAAAGCGCTTTGGGTGACCTGTAAAATGCGCTATATAAATAAAGATTACTCCCTTACTTATTTTTGATTTGAGTCTGTTCAATAAGAATTAAATAAAGAAGGAAAAATATTTCTTAAAGTAAATTACTTGGATTAAAGCTCTAGCTAAATGCCATGTCTCTTTTCACCACCAGATCGTTAACCTGATCGAGGAGACGGGGCACTTTAACGTCACCAACACCACCTTTGACTTTGACCTCTTTTCACTGGACGAATCCACGGTCCGCAAACTACAGAGCTACCTGGAGGCCACCGCCACGTGACCCCGGCCTCGCAAGCGCCTCCACACACTAGACTGAAGCAGATGCGCTGGAGACGTTCTGCGTTTGACCACTGCAGGACCTCACTCCCGAAGGGCGGAGGACCGCTAACTAGGATCTTTTTTTACTGAACAATGTTTTTACGTTTTTGTGTCTGCACAGCGATACAATTCACCCCGAGCCAGGGCTGCACAATACTGGCCAGACAAGGTTTTATAATAATCAGTGTACACGGCGTATATGTGGATTTGAAGCGAAAAGCAACGTGTCAAAAAGGCTGTACAGGAGGAGATGTGTTTGCGCAGTCTGCTGAAAGGGGAAGTTAGCTTTACTGTGACTCGACTTGAAACGTATGCGCTTCTAAGTATTTGGAGGCTTGAAATGGTTCCCTTAGCACTTTGAACTTTGGTGAATGATTAACAGGAGACTATTTCCACCAGAGACTTTTTCTTGTCTTCCCTGCGCCGAAACGGCAGGATGCGCCACATTGTTGTGTAAACTCAATTCTGTTCATAGCAGCGTGTAACGTCAATATGGCAATTTTTGCAAGCATTTTTTCACTGCTGATTTAAAAGAGAAAAAAATACAAGTAATCTTTATTTATATAACGCCTTTCACAGATGAATCACAAAGCGCTTTACAATTGTTGGGCACAATCTCACTACAGAGATGGAATCGGGGCTCCATATAGGAGGCTTTCTTAAACCGTGGGTCCCAAAATTTTTCCCAACCCACCCCACAATAAGTTTTATTCAGCCCGCTGAAGACAATAGGAGTAGGTTAGGGGGTAACATTACTAAGTTAATTTCATTGTAATCTAAATAAACTAAGTATTTGTAATTGAGTTAGAAGACATAATGTGACCAGTGCTCCAAATGCAGTTTTCTAAGTGAGGCCCCTGTTATTGCCCGCTTGAGTCGTGTGCACTGGTGGGTGGTGCAGAGGGTTAGGGTGATCATGGGACATTTTACGTCAAAGATGAACTCTGACCGACCTCCTAGTTGTCAGGAAGACGCCACTAGCCAATACAGTCATGTCTTAATCTGCTGTTCAAAATAATTGCTGCTTCTCCTATTGGGAGGTTAATTTCGATTACAACATCTTGAGCAGAGGGATTGGGTACAGTGCCTTTTGGCCACTTGTGAGAATTCTATGCCTTGAGGCTTGAGCGGCCACCGCTTCCTTTTCTAAATTGTGCAAGACTCTTCCGTAATAATTTCTGTCTACATTATGTTGTGCAGCCCTGGCTATTACCCACCCCCAACACACCGCCTGGTTCTCCTCTTGTTCTGCCCCACGACGCTGCTTCCTTTTTGGGCTGCAGCTCGGACCCCTCCCCCCGAGGTCAGTTGGAGCCCATTTCTCTGCCGCTGTTTCCAAAAACAAGAAAGAAAATTCTACAAATGCGAGAGGCCGAGGCTCCAGTTCAGATTCTCCAAGCACAACCATTTTACAGTCATGGTCAAGGCCACCAATTTTCTGAATATTACTGCAGCATACAATATTTTATTCTGAGGTTTGTTCTTAGGATCAATCCATTGCAATCATGATTTCAATCAAATAAGCGTTGAAAGCCATTTATAACCAAAACGATAACAAAAAAATAGTGAATTGTGTAAATAATGTGAATTGTGCAAAAACAAATGTGTTGATTTTAATTTATTAATAATTGTGTTATTTGCAACAACAAAATAATGTCTTGCCCATCTCTACCACCTGAGTGGAATAGTAAAGGTTCTATACACAAGTACCTTTTTGCATATTTCTATAGTTAGAATTGTGTAAGAAAGGTTGAACTAAAACCCAGTGGCCATTATGATATTTAAAATTAAGCTTAAAATAAGTTTCTGGTTTACTGAGAAACAATCTAAAACGGCTCTAATGTATGATCAACCATTTGGTCAAAATCATCGACCAATCATTTTGGCGTCACATTTGTTGATTTGCCAACCAATTTGAAAATTAAACAATTAAACTACCAAATTAAAGTAGCATTGGTCCATAAGACAAACTAGCTAACTAGTGTTCACATGTATTTGAGCAAATGGAAAATGCAGCTTCTGGTGCCTAAAACATAAGTAGAACTTTAGACATTTAGAAGAGATGTGTTTTTTGTCGAACATTCAATTCTTCACGTTCTGTCTTATTTTGGACCAAAGCAGAACTTCAAGTCAAGTTGTCTTTGACCACATGCCTGATGTGGAAAGTCATGTACGTAAAAGCTTTGTACGTACATGCACTTCATAATTAAATCTTAATAATTCATCCATTCTTCCATTTTCTACCCCTTAATCCATTTCTGGGTTGGGGGGATGGCAATCAGTAATGCCACCCAAATCAGTTTTTTTCCTTCTTCCACCACGAGTCACAATCTACCGGGAACAGCATGGGCAACATGTGGTTCCTCTAAAGCTCCTATAAAACTATGCACAGTTTATCTTTTTAGCTCTGAATTTGACCTAAAAAAATTGCTTTTGTATAATCTGAGCCTCGTCCTCTCGCTTTTACTCTCCCTTCAAACTCCTCACAGACGTAAACCAAGCCGCAAAAAGTAGCCATAGATCCTAATCAAGAAAAAACGCCACGAAGCGAATACAATTTTTGGAAAGTGTTTTTATTTTTCTACAACCGTGCGTATTTCTTCCCAGATCGCGAGCTATGAATGTATATAGATGGCTTTTACTTTTCTACGGCTCCTCCCTAGTGCCTTTTCTTCGACTTCAAGAAGGGGGATAGCCATCGTCAGTCCCCCCAAGTGTTAAAATGCCTGATTATCCAGTATTGTCTTAAAAAACTGCTACATCTCTGTAGTCCGCCGTGCTTCTTCCCATCTCTGCGTGAATTCGTATGGAATTGTTGGCTCTACTGTAGTATTAGCGATCCTCTTTACTTGTTCTTACTTCTTTACTTTATCAATGGACTCTTCAAAGTGCTTTTTTGAGGGTGCCAGAAAAAGCCTCTCCAAGTGCATATGGACTGTTTTCACACTGGTGTGTAAAGGTGCAGCATGTGACTTTGCTCCGGCCATGTTACAGTTTTCATGGTTTTAATGAACAAACTGCTGATATTTGCTTATTGGATGGTTATCAGACTTTGAAATTAGTTATCAGACAAGAACCCGTTTTCCTAAAGTGAAGCTTGGTTACTTTTTAAATTATAAATATGGAGAGACAATTATATATTTTATATTCCGTGTTACTTTAATTGATTTAAAGGAATAGGCCACCGTTTTTACATAGTGACATATGTTCTTACCTTACCTTAGACTAGTTGATATGTACCTGTCTGGTCTTTGCCTCTTCCACATACTGAATAGTTCCAATTTAGCTCCCGTTAGAAGCTACCAAACTCGTCCATGTTTTCCCTATTTAAATACAGTTACGTGACGTGTTACACTACAAAGTATAGTAACACAGAAATGTAACATGTCGATTTTCTCAGCGGATAAAAAGGGGTACTATATTGTGAGGCGTAATAATACGAGGAGCACTACATCCGCGCACTAACTCCTAAAGACTTCTCGCTTCTCTCCCGCTCACTTCCGTCAATAGAAGCAGTGTGAGCGGGAGAGAAGTCTTTAGGAGTTAGTGGTAGCTTCTAACGGGAGCTAAATTGGAACTATACAGTCTGTGCAAGAGGCTGCGTTTGTGCTCCGTTTGCATGACAGAGCGCACGGACAAAGACCAGACAGGTCTAAGGTAAGGTACGAACATATGTCAGTATGTAAAAACGGTGGCCTATTCCTTTAAGAACGAGATCTTATTTGGCAGAATTTACTTAACAGTATTTGGCAGAGTTCTTGTTCTTTCGTACATTTGCCTTTCAGTTAAGGATCTATTTCAATATTACATTGTTCATAACATTGTACATTGTTCATTGTTCAGCTTTTTAGTAGTATTCAGTGCTTATTAAATTTATACATACAGTATTTTGGATTATTTTTGTGGCTTCAGGTTATATAATAAATAACTGACTAGTGTGGCTGGAAATTGGAGCCAAATTATCCTATAGCAACTAAATAGCCTTGTTTGTCTCCTGTTCTCGCTACTGAAGACAACTTAGGGGAGTGAAAAATACTATTTACTCTCCTATATCTCAAATTGTTAAGTTAAGAACTGCAAAAGTCGTTTAAGGCATGGGTTGGGGAGATAATTCTGATTACATGGATATTGTGAGCAATGACTAACTATTTAAACATGTCTGTAAATGATAAAGAAACGCTCTTTGGTTGTTGGCTTCACGTTGAAGGAAAGACTCAATTCTTGTCAAAGATGTGACAAGAGAAAGTTACATGGTGCACCTTTTAATAGCTCTATGGTCTCACAAAGCTGGCTGGTTTTGGATCTGCTTTCAAATGTAAATGTATGCATGTTGCCACCATGGATGTATTATATTAACTGGATAGGGTATTACTAGCTTGTAGCTGAATAACTCACGTGCTCAGGGGATTCTCGCGGTACTGCAGACTGAACCAGACTAAATTCACGTGGGCTACCCAGAAATTTTCCCCATAGAACTCAATGCATATTAAAACAGCTCAACCTCAGCTGACAGAGAACCTACAGCTTTAATAAAGATCGGATTTTGTGGGGATTTTAGTGTCCCTTGTCATCCTGAACTTTTTTTCTTCTTAAATCCTTCGGTTTTGTTTAAATCCACACTTTAGTGCCACAAACTCTGCTCCTCTGGCTCTCGCTCTAACTCCCGCTCTGATGAACTGCTCTGATTGGTCAGAGCGCGGCCGAGCCCCTCTGTGCACATGCGTGAGACCCGGTGTGAGACCCACACACGCGTGTTTGGCGCAACGCATTATGGGAGATCATCCACTGCACAGAACCGGGAGGACCAGACGATGCCCAAATACTGGCGAGTTTCCCATAGATCTTTGAGAGTTTCCCATTGATCTTTGCGAGTTTCAGGCGACTTCCGCTAATCTTTCAGCCTCCTTGCCGTCACAAAGCGCCACTGAGCACAACCATTCATTTGAATAGGGCGCCATCTTG